GAACGAGCAAAAGCTCCGATGCCCATCAGTTTCGCTACTGAAGGCATAGAAAAAAGAGGACGAAGCAATCCCCTATTCCTAAATCTCACTCAGTATTTTTCATCATGGTCCCACTCTATGCTGCCATTAGGAGAAACTGCCTTGCAAAAGCAATGCAGAACACTGCCAGAGAGGACACAATGCCAGGTCATGAAGCACTAGTGGAGTGAAAAACCAAGGCCCGCACATTCCCCTTTCCCTCCTTCCAAGCCGCTGCCGCCATGATGTACAAGAGAAATGCATTGCACATATACCAAGAGAAAATAGCTTAAGTTCTAAAGTCCATTGTTTTTATAATACAGAAAAGAGAAGAAACCGTACAAAGTTGCTTCTGCCTCCCACCAAGTACCTGGCAACGAGGATTTACCCTACGCAAAAAGCAATGCAGTAAGGAAGGACAGCATAAAGAAACGACAAAGCTTAGTGTTATTGCGTTGGAATAATGAAGAAAATAATAATATTAATAATGGGATAACAAAACTCCAAATCAAATGCAATTGCAGTTGGAAGACATTGTAGATGAAGTTGAAACGAACAAACGTGTCAGAATTAAAGGTCAGCAAAATCATACGCACAGAAAACAAGGAAATAGACGAAATAAAGTAAGAGAGGAAAGAGACCAAGTAACGGTACAGGTAAGCACCAGTGAGAGAAAAAGATCACTCCGCTCTGCCCTGTTTCGCTCTACCTCACACGTTGCCGCCGCCATGGCTCCCCACTACACTTGCAGTAACACAAAAGCAGCATCGCAACACTTATCAGAGTGCTTTCAAATCGGTGTCTTAGTTAAGCCGTCTATCATAACCATTTTTTAGATCTTGCATTTACTTATGCTAGAGAGTTCCTCTGAATTCAAAGGACTTTGAACTCAAATGTTCCACTCATGGATACCAGAGATAGTACCTCAGCTTAAAACGCGTTGCCTTGCCTCACACACTTCGTTCACATCGATCAACAAGGAAATAAATATTTCTCTCGACGAGTTCGTTCAACCTTACATATTTCTTTACATTTCCAATGGAAGTTAATAAATGTGTACAAAATTATGTACCAACGAAAAAATTAGTGATACAAAATTACCGCGACGTCATCACAGCTTGGAAAGGGAGATTCAGTGAACAGGAATGGAGAGGGTGACAGATTTAGGCAGTATTGTGCTGTTCCTCATGGAATCCCTGCCAAAAGAAAAAGACCAACCACTCCAGTGCTTCATGCTACAGGCTTACAGAATGTACCATAACCACCAGACAGTGTTCAAAGGCGTAAGCTCACCATGTCATCGATTCTAACTTGCGAATTGTTGCAAAAAATGGAAGTGACTACACTAAATACTGGAGATGACACTCAAGGCTTTGGTACGGACTCCGGGTAGGTGGGCACACGCAAATCCAGGGCAGGCGCGTAGACCCCTGCGTTAGCTAAATTTGGTGGTAGTGACGGCGGTGGCAACAGAACACCGTGTACCTCGTCAACTACCGATGGTGATTGCTTGCGACGATGCAGGAGACAACGGAATTAGGCCAATAATCCAACGCCCAATATCACCAAAAAGGCACCGAAGAGAGATCCGACTATCGTACCCCATAAGAGAGAGTCGCTACAACTGCGTACGAGGCATCGAGCTAAAACTTTCATCCTTACGGCCGCCGTCGAGTAAATAAATGAATGTAACAACAGAAAAAAAGTAGTCACCAACCACTGTGTTCTACTGTCACGGCATGTATGACCATTGGCGCATTTTCC